TTGCTCCTCAAGGAACCAACCAAACCAAAAACCTGTCCGCCCTCCAACAAGCCCCCCAATCTCTGGATAAACCCACCCTCTTCTGGGAAGAGAACCTTTTTCTGCTAACGTGAGTCCCATTCATCTCTGAGTTTGCAAGACATTGTTCAAAGTTCCCACAGACCCTGAACTAACCTCTGAACTTCCCTTCTCACTTCCAGTTCTGGTTCTCCAGCTCTCTGAGTTACCCTGGATTAACCTTATGGATTATTTCAATAAACCTGTTAAACTTTTACTCTGGTTGTCTGAGTGGTTTTCTGCATGTGGGTCAGATCTCTTAAAAACATCATGACACTTAAAGTTCGAACTGGTAAACTTTGTTATTTTTTGCAAGTATTAGCTCATTTGGAATTTGATGCCTGCAACATGTTTCAAAAAGCTGGCACAAGTGACAAAGAAGACGCTCATCAAACACTTATTTGGAATATCCCACAGGTGAACATGCTAATGGGAACAGGTGGGTGCCATGATTGGGTATAAAAGCAGCTTCCTTGAAATGCTCGGTCATTCACAAATAAGGATGGGGCGAGGGTCACCATTTTCTGAACAAATGCATGGGCAAATTGTCGAACAGTTCAAGAACAACATTTCTCAACAAGCTATTGCAAGGAATTTTGGAATTTCACCGTCTACGGTCCGTAATATCATCAAAAGGTTCAGAGAATCTGGAGAAATCACTACACGTGAGGGGCAAGGCTAAAAGCCAACATTGAATGCCCGTGACCTTCGATCCCTGAGGTACTGCATCAACAACTGACATCAGTGTGTAAAGGATATCACCACATGGGCTCAGGAATACTTCAGAAAACCACTGTCACTAACTACAGTTTGTCGCTACATCTGTAAGTACATGTTAAAGCTTTAATAGGCAAAGCAAAAGCCATTTATGAACAAGATCCAGAAACGCCGCCGGCTTTGCTGGGTCCGAGCTCATCTAAGATGGACTGATGCAAAGTGGAAAAGTATTCTGTGGTCTGATGAGTCCACATTTCAAATTATTTTTGGAAACTGTGGACGTCTTGTTCTCCGGACCAAAGAGGACAAGAACTATCCGGACTGTTATAGGCGCAACGTTCAAACCCAGCATCTGTGATGGTATGGGGGTGCATTAGTGCCCAAGGCATGGGTAACTTACACATCTGTAAAGGCACCATTAATGCTGAAAGGTACATACAGGTTTTGGAGCAACATATGCTGCCATCCAAGCGACGTCTTTTTAATGGACGCCCCAGCTTATTTCAGCAAGACAATGCCAAGCCACATTCTGCACGTGATACAACAGTGTGGCTTCATAGCAAAAGAGTGCTGGTACTTCCCTGGTTTGCCCGCAGTCCAGACCTGTCCCCCATTGAAAATGTGTGCCACATTATGAACCATATAATATGACAAAGGAAACCCTTGACTGTTGAACAACTTATGCTGTACATCAAGCAAGAATGGGAAAGAATTCCACCTGAAAAGCTTCAAAAATTGGTCTCCTCAGTTCCCAACCGTTTACTGACTGTTGTTAAAAGGAAAGGCGATGTAACACAGTGGTAAAAATGCCCCAACTTTTTTGCAATGTGTTGCTGCCATTAAATTCTGAGTTAATGGTTATTTGCCAAACAAAATTAAGTTTCTCAGTTCGAACATTAAATATATTGTCTTTGCATTGTATTCAGCTGAATATGGGTTGACAAAGATTTGCAAGTCCTTGTATTCTTTTCATTTGCGATTTACATAACGTGACAACTTTTCTGGTTTTGGGTTTGTAGATCATCTGTCCTCTCAGCTGCCATTGCTGCCAATTGAGGAATTGTTTCTAGTTACTAATCAAAAGTTGAACACAGTCATAAACCGCCAGCTTGCACGTATCCTACTGTTGCAGTTGATCGTTATGTTAATTACAACACTTAATAATAAGTGTTGACCATGGATGGTCAACACGTGCGAAATTTTAAGTCCATTACTTTTTAATCCACTAGGCGTTCGAACACTCATTTAAAATGGTGTAACCGCTATATAGTGCTCTATGTATGGATTAGGGTGGACTTTCTGACAATGCTGAGCTGATGCTGCAGCACATTTGACCTCTTCTTCATCTGTTTAACCTAGTCTACCTCCAATGGGAGGTATTTGCGGAGCTGCTGCAGCTTATAACTCTACACACCAACTTTATTATATAAAATATAAACTGACTTTTACTTTATCTGATTATTTAGGTTTCTCCACCAAGCTTCTATAGAAGCTAATATTGCCATTAACTCACTAGTTTATCTTAAATAAGTAGGAAGTACTCCTGGACCATTGCTGCTGTGTTAGTTTTTGTCTGCTTGGGTCTTTTCAAAGCAACCTATTGCAACAGAAGACTGTTCGCTGTTCCAGGATTTGGTTCTGCTGGGTGTTTTATAATGTTACTGGGGAGTTTTTCTTTCCATTGTCATTATAAGAATGCATACAGCTGTTTGCTAGATATTCATCCTTGTCGAGCAAATGCTACAAGTCTGTGACAAGATGGAAACTTTACTTTGGGAACTCTGGGAAGAAACTAGCTTCACTATTACTAGAATTATATTAAATTTGTATTTGTTGAAAAAAAAACTAAGAGCAAAATGCTTAAAACATTCAAATGAAAGAGGAAAGGGGAAGGAAAAGAGTAGCCTAAGCCTTAAAGGGGAAGTCTTTTTAAGAAAACGCTGTAAATAGACAAGGCGAAGATCATCTTTATAAACGGACGCAATAAAGGAGACCTCAACATATATTTTGGCTAAAAAATACTAAAAGACTATCTAACGCCTTTAATATTCCACCAGGTGAAAACTTTGATTATAATGTCCGCTTTCAAACAAGAAGATTTAATTCTTAAAGTTTAATTGTTGTTTAGCTTCAGCAGAAAATTTAAGACGTCTCTTTCTTTAACATAGAATTGTCATCTGTGGAAAGTGTCCCCATCATGAGACATCCGGAGGGCTGTGAGGAAGGTAAGAAACATATAGATTACGTAACATCAAGAAAAAGCAGTCAGAGGCTGAGTTGTCGTCATCAGACAAACCGGACTGAAATGTAATGCTTTATTTATAGATTAGATCAGATTAGCTTGGATGGAAACTCGATGTTTTTCTAAGGATAAAACATTTTATTGGTGACATTACAATGACATTTGACCCCTGCATTTAACTGATCCCTTAGGGAGCAGTGGGTAGGTTGAAGTGCCTGAGGATCTATTTTGGGCTAAGGGTTTTGCTCAGGAACCCACAGTGGCAAAATCTGCGATTTGAACTGAATACTTCCTCCAAGGCAGTCCTCATATACAGGAGGTATCAGAGGTTAAACTGATAGGAATAGATATACCACATGAACTTAGCAGAAAGCTTGAGAAGGTAACCTGACATTTCAATGACAGTTTATGATCTATAAACATTCATATTTAGCAATAAGATAAAACTATATCACTGCAGAAAATAATGAGGAAGCTGTTTACAACAAGTGAGAAATACATTTCAAACTAAAGGCAGGCAATTAAAGATATTGAAATCAATTCTTATGATATTTTGGCCCTCAAATCAGCTGTGCATTGCTTTACTATCATACTATGGGTACATGTAATGTGAATGGAAATGTCTTACCTGCTGATATACTGGAGGATGTATGGAAGTGAACTGAGTAGAAGGTAAACCAGAGCGGTGAAGGGGGCAGATGTGGATTGCAGCTGTTTGCAGGCAGAACTTAACCCTAATGAGGAAGTTTATAAAGGAGTCTTGGATGCTATCTGTTGTTAAGGAAGCTTGTAGAAAAGGAAAAGACTGGCAGATGCAGATCAGAGTGATTGATTTGGCAGTCAGGATGTGCAGCTAAGACTTGAGTCTTCCATATTGAAATTAGCTGGGCTCCAAATCTTTATGATGACAGGCATATAAAAACAGGTAAAAAATAAAATAAAACAACATTTAGTAATGTTGAGGGTAAAACAGAAACAAGCTGAGCAGGTCTCCATGGAAACACATGTTCATAAACCATGAAGTGATTTCCTGTTCATAAAGAGAATACTACATAAAAACACATCAGTGAGGAAGCTGTTCAGTGTGTTTGACTGAGAGTAGATATCAGATTAGGGACCTCATACATAGAGAGTGTTTGTTTCTTACTAACATTTAGTGGCGGCACACGATAAAAGACAGATATATGAAACTATTTTCACCAAAGCAGAAGCTGATTTCATATCTTTGGTTAAAATAAAAATATTTAGCAGAAACATATGATATTGTTACACAGACTGAATCTATATTAATCCGCCTTAGACCCAAAGTACATTTTATTCTACATGTGCATCCAGTTATCAGATTATCTTGTTCTCTTGTGCCAGTGGTGAGGCTGTTTTTAGCGTAACTTAGTGTTTCTGATTACCTGATCCTGACCTGTTTTGCCTCTAAACCACTTAGCTTGCCTTTTCCTATCTGATCTCAGTGGTGTGAGTGTTTTTAGCTTACCTGTGGGTTTCTGATTACCTGATCCTGACCTGTTCTGCCTCTCAACACTAAGCCTGCCTATTCCTATCTGATCTGTTTGCCTGACCTGGCTTCGGACCCCTGGAGCTCTGAGCTTGCATGTTCCTATTCTGATCTGTTTGCCTGACCTGGCTTTGGTCTCCTGCATGTTATCTGGGGCTGCAACATCTGGGACACTCTGGGCGGCATCCACATCTTGTTGGCAGCCCACCGGCTAGATCCTACCTCATTCTGTGGGCATGGACTGAACTTGTAAACCAGGTTAGTGACGCACATGAATAATCATGCATGTCAGATTATCATGGTCACTAACCTGTGTTTCTCTCCTGCAGAGATTTCCGCCTTAGATGCCCTAGCCGCTTCAACTCCGATCCACTGATTTTGAATAAATGCTTTTTGAGTTATCCCACGTTTTGTCTTGCCGTGAATACTGGGCCCCTCTGTTCTGAGTCTTGACATAAATTTTTTGTTTGGACAAGATTTGACAAGATTAAAAGTTTCTTGGATTATTGCAAATTTTCAACATCTTCCTTCTTTATGTCCCAAGTTGTGTGTGATCTCTGCATCACAGGGGTCTTTGTGTGTATTCATGGTTTATACATGAGATCCCAGATGTTGGTTGTTTGCTGTGAGTCTGTCTCCAGATTCTGATCTGGTTCTCCTCTAAATGCTCCTCAGCTGAAGCAGCTGCCTCTCAACATGAAAACCCAACCAGAACCTCCAAGCTGCCATCAGTGAGAGTCGTCCTGCTGGTTCTGGGCTCTCTGCTGGCTGCTGCTCTCATCATCATCTACAGACTCTGTGAGTTTAGATCGGTTTCATCTCTCTTTCAAATCAACTTTCTCAAATGTAAAGTTCATATTTTGTGATGGCAAACCAGGGTTCAATTTAAGTGAAAATAAAATTACCTTTGTCTTTCTGGAATCAGCTGTTGTTTGGATGAGCAATCGAGATGTTCAGATCCTGAAAGAGGAGAATGAAGATCTGAGGACTTTTTTCTCAGGTGAGATTGGGAGGGTTTGAAAGCCGCACCCAGAAAAGGTTATCAACTTTATATTTCATATATTCAGAGAGTAACCTCAGGATTTAAATTGTACTATTACTGCTTTCATTCTGGTAGTCATTCCCGGACAGACCATAGGGAGACCCGGGAGTATTTCTGAAGCGCCAGCCTTGGATTGGCCTGTTGGCCTCTCTCTGTCTCTCTTTTTTTTTTTTTAAGTTTGCCGGTATAGCAGCGGTGCTATGTTGCCAGATAGGGCGTTTCTCATTTGGATTTTTGAGGGTAAACATTTCTTTGGGCGGGTGGGGATAATTTTCGCTTGTTCGGAGTCAGATCTGCAGTTTTTGAGGTAACCCATTAAAACACATGTCCACCAATGTGGTTATGAATCCATCTGCAAACCTATTAGTACCTGTTGTCATGATTTAACTAAAGATCAGACCCAAATGCAGAGAAACCAATACAGAGAGACCAGGGAAAAAGTTTAACAGGTTTATTGAGAAGCTTGTGGAGATTCCAGTGTTGCTCTGAACACTGCTCAACTGGAAGTTTCCAGAAAAGTGGTTGACTCTTTGACTCCAGTCGGTGTGGGGTGTTCCAGTGTTTGTCTCATTCGGTGGAGGGCGGACAGGGTTTGACCAGAATGTGGTTGTTTGTAGAAGAACGGAGAAACTGACTGCCACTCAGATTTCCCGCGGTACTTGAACGGACTGTGGTGCAGATGAATCCCTTGCTCAGTGTGAAGCTCAAACGATCCCTTGGAGGAAAGTGGATCCAAACCTCCAGTTTGAATCCCCAGCTCAGTTTGAGGATCAGTTGATCCTTCCAGGGAGAGAAGGGCCGAAACGTCCAGTTTGCAGGATGACTTCCCCAAACTGGCAAACACGCTGGCGTCGATGTAGTGGCAGACAGCAGCTTAAGAGCACTCCACAGGTAATGAGGCAACGAGCTGCAGGTGTGCAGGGAGGCCCAATGAGGACGGGGCACCACCTGGTGGAGGAAAAAAGGAAACACAGAAACAACCCACAAAGAATGGATTCCTGACACCTGTATGTGATTTGTCACATGACACTCACAGGATCTGACATCGCTGTGGTGGATGGGTCAGAGTTGTTTATGGAGAACTGCTCTGGGCATATTTTGCTGGATGTTGTAGCATTTTGACATGTGGTGTTTAATTAAGTTGTACTGAAGGGTGTTCATGTTGACACAGTAAATATAACAATATATTAATTGGTCAGGTTGATGTGCGATGTGGTTTTTAACAGGTGTTTGGGCTGGAAAACCTCGACCGTATCTGGCAACACTGGAGATAGACAGGCCAGGCCATTTAGGCCTGTAGCATGTGAGGTGGGAGAGATGATTGGTTTATTTCAACTAACACCCGCCCCAACAGTCCGTATCAACCACACAGACAGCAACGTGTGGAGGAAGGGGTGTGTGTTGTATGTCTGGTGCTGGCTGCTGTGATGTGTGTAGCTAGCGAGTGGTGCAAGTGAGGATAAGAGCAATGGACTCAGTCTATGAACAAAGTAAAAGGAAGAGGAAAGGTGGAGCAGAGAGGGAGAAACACAAATAAAAGAAAGGCGCTGGAGGAGGAAGATGTGGCCAAATGTAGAAAAACCACCAATGGTACCTTAAAAAAGATGCAATTAAATTATAAAAAAAAATATCACGCTTTATTTGTGTTTAAATTTAAAACTGGAAGAACACTGTTATCATATGTTTGCTATGCAAAGGTGGTGATGACATCAGTCTTGCCGGTGCTTCAGGAGAAGGAGAGAATCTGGAAGAAGGTATGGAACCATTTATACAGTAGAGCAACAAGATGCATTAAGTGACATAAACACCACCAAACACTACCATTTGACATAAATGGCTCTCAGCTGTAATACTGGCACTTCAGCATTATTCTATTAAGTGATTGTGTTGTGAAATTGTTCTGTCAGCTGCTGATTTGCAGTTACGTATCCCAGATCAAACATGAAAGTTTGTGTATTCCAATTTTGGATTTACTGTAGGGGTTCATTACTATCCCTGGTATGATGACTGGCCATTGAAGCATGATATGACATGATATGACTACGTATAGCTCTAACCTTGGTACTAATTATTATGTAAAATCGTTATTATCTTACTACTATCGCAATTGCAGCAGTAAAGTTACGATATATTCCAACCTTATCAATTAGAGTAGGTCCTATAGATGTCAACAAGGGTGGGTGAGGTTGCAGTGAGGCAGAGATGAGTTCTTGTAGATTTAATGCAAACTGAGGCTAACATCCAAAACACAAAAATACGGGGGAAAGAAACAAAAAAAAACCCCGGCAGAGATGAGGAAGCAACTAACAATCATTAAAGAACCAGCAGTGAGTGACTTCAGAGGTGGTGTATATAAGGGGAACCGAATATTCAGCTAATGAGCTCAATATGCAGGACGTGTGAGTGGAACTCACTAAAAGGAAGCCAAGGGGAAAGAAACCAAGCACAAGGGGGCAACTGGGAGTAACTTAAGTCTGCTTGAAGATAATGGAAAAATAAACCAAAGAACAAAACCAAATAACTAATAACTGAAAACTAAAAGTCCCAAAAGGGGGGCACCATAACAACACATCGTGTTTCCCAACCATTTTTGACTTGTGTTCCGCTTTGGGCAATTTTTCGTACCATGAGCCCCCCTCTCAAGGGCAGGTTCCCGCAGCAGTGTCGCAGTGAGCTTGTTGCAGGTATGACGCAGATATTTCTGATTTGTACTCAATATTGTAGAGTGGCCTGCGCAATGTTTATTCCACGCCACAACGCAAAAGGGAAAACTAGCTCTTGGTCTAGAAACGGCCGAGGCGGTGAGGAAATGGGGGCAAGTCTGTGCGACAAGGGAGGGACATGAGGGCAAAAAAGAGCAGGGATCCAGGTGGAAAAAGGGTCCCAGCGTTCTCACGCATCTCGCTCTTCTAGCTGGTCAAACTTCACGAGTCGTTATCCACAATGGCGGTCATACAAACAAAGCAAGCCGGTAAGATATCAAACAGGAAATACGCATAGAGTTAAGCGGATGTAGATTTGACCAGTCAGAGGCCGCCTGTCAGCGACACTGTCTGCTGTCACCTACAATGATGGTAGGTGCAGCAGACTGTCTGCGGAGGGGGCGGGGGCGTCTCTCTGTTCACCGCGACATCTACGCAGATGACCTGGTTTTGAAGTATAAATCAGCCTTAAGTCAAAAGTATGGATGATTGTCCAGAAGTGTGAACGTACAATAACTAAAATAAAGAATATTTTACTTAATTTTTTATTTGAGAATTTAATTTTATACATTTATATTTTTCATCTCAAACAAAAAAAAAATAAGATAAGTATATTGCCTTGAAGTCAGTAAGAAATCGAAATAAATACAGAATAAAATCCTATTATGAACCTGTATTTATGTATCTGGAGCTCCTCTGATTAAATACCCTATAATCAAATTTAAACTTGATGAATTGGGAACAAAATGCAGTCAGATTTATATATACTATAAAATTATAGTCAGGCTGACTTAATTAGTTTTAAAACACCTGAGCCGCTTTGATGATCTCCGATAACTCAGTGTCGTAGCTGAAGGTGAACTCAAACATTTAATAAAAAACTACTTTTTGGTTGATAAAAGCTTGTTTAATTTATCAGTTGGGTCATCAGAAAGCAAAACAGATCCCAGCCTTATTTTATTTTACTACCTAAGAAATCAGTGATGTCAGCCTGAAAAAATCTCAAAATCGGGCCATGTTATACATACTAATAGAGAGATACAGGAAGTTAGATCGTAACTGGAGGCCTCCTGCTGCCTCCAAATCACACAAACATCTACAGACATGTATTCCTCCTGACTCAGTGAAGTCTTTGTTCTGATCTGTTTGAAGAGCTGACACCTCCTGAGTGTGAAGCAGGCTGGGAGCTACATGGAGGAAACTGTTATTATTTCTCCAACTATAAGTCCTCCTGGACTGAGAGCAGAGATTCCTGCAGAGGTCAGGGAGGAGACCTGGTGAAGATCGACAGCAGAGAGGAGCAGGTATGAAACACTGCTGCAGGTTCAAGTTCTCACAGATTTGATCATCATCACCACCATCACATGTCATCATCTTTTTCAAACCTTCACTTGTTCAGATGTTTCTGGTAGGAAGACTGAACAACTTGATTGTGGATGAATCAGACAAGTTCTGGATTGGACTGACAAAAGCTGAAATATACAACTGGTTCTGGGTGGATGGATCTACGTTAGATGAAAGGTTTGACTGATTAAAAGGCTGTTAGAACAAAACTACTTTGGTGTTTATTTGGTTTTGTCTTTCTACAGATCTCTTACATTTTGGTCGGATAGCCTGCGCAACGCATGTGACGTTGGTGAAGACTGTGTGAGGATGGGGGAGAAAGGAGGATCTGGTGATCTGATGTCCTGGTTTTTTACATCCTGTGAACATTCTCAGAAGAGTATCTGTGAGAAAGCAGCTAAAACTAAACACATGTTTGTGAATGAGTGAAGTTCATTCCGGTGTAGGTACCAGATTGACTCGGGGGCCTGCGCCTTTTGATGA